AGTTGGAGATCAGCCTGGGTAACATGGTGAAACCCTTCTCCAAAAAATACAAAAATTAGCTGAGCATGGTGGTATGCACCTGTAGTCCCAGCTACCTGGGAGGTGGGAGAATCACCTGAGCCCGGGAGGTTGAGGCTACACTGAGTCATTATCAGGCTACTGCACATTGGCCTGACCATCAGAATGAGACCCTGTCTCAAAAAATAAATAAATAAATAAAAGAAAGAAAGATGAGTCATTACAACTGATACCACACAAAGAATAATAAGAGACTACTATGAAAAATTATAGAATAACAAATTGGATAACTTAGAAGAAACAGATTCTTAGAAATGAATGACTGACCAAGATTAAATCATGAAGAAACAGAAATACTGAACTGACCAGTAATAAGAAAGGAGATTGAAGCAGTAATTAAAAAATCCAATGAGAAAAAGCCCATGACCAAATAACTTTATGGGTGAATTGTATCATACATTTAAAGATGAATTAATGTCAGTCCTTCTCAAATTCTTCCAAAAAATTGAAGGGAAAAACCATTGCCATTGCCCCTTAGTTTGCATGTAAGGAAAAGTGGGCATGTAAGTACACGGCTGCAGAACTGCTCCTCTCAGCACACTGCCTACAGGGGAGCCTTGTTCCACAGGAGCAGTCACAGAGCTGCAACACTGCCAGCTCAATAAAGCTGTTTTCTTCTACCACTACCTTGTGCTTCAATTCTTCCTGAGTGAAGCCATGAACCTTGCCAGGATAAACCCCAATTGGGGGCTCACTTGCCCTGCAACAAGAGCAGTTAGGTAAGAAAAAGAAATAAAAGGCACTCACATCAGCAATGAAGAATAAAAATTATCTTTGCTTGCAGACTAGGTGATTTTATATATAGAAAACCCTCAAGAGTACACAAAAAGAGATAGAGCTAATACACCCATTCAGTAAAGTTGAGGTCACAAAATTAACATGCAAAGATTAGTTGCATTTCTATATACTAACAATAAATGATCTGAGAAGAAACGCAAAGCAAAAATCCAATTTATAATAGCATCAAAAAGTATAAAATTCGTATGATTCCATTTAACAAAGGAGGTGAAAGATCTGTAAGATATTGATGAATGTAATTGAAAAAGACAGAAATAAATGGAAAGATATCCTTTGTTCATGGACTGGAAAAATTAATACTGATAAAATGTCCACACTACACAAAGTGATCTACAGATACAATACAATCCCTATTAAAATTCCAGTGTCAGTTTTCACAGAAATAGAAATAAATTCTAAAATTTATTTAATTATATATATATATGTTTTGAGACAGAGTCTTGCTGTTGCCTAGGCTGGAGTGCAGTGGGGTGATCTTGGCTTACTGCAACCTCTGTCTCCTGGGTTCAAGCAATTCTCTTGCCTCAGCCTCCCCAATATCTGGAATTACAGGTATGTGCCAATATGACTGATTAGTTTTTATATTTTTAGTAGAGATGGGGTTTCACCATGTTGGCCAGGCTGGTCTTGGACTCCTGGCCTCAAGTGATCTGTCTGTCTTAGTTTCCCAAAGTGCTGGGATTACAGGTGTGAGCCACTGCATCTGGCCTTCAAAGTTCTATAAAACCACAAATGACCCCAAATAGCCAACACAATTTTAAGAAAGAAGAATAAAGCTGAAGGCATCACACATATTCATTCCAAACTATTACAAAGCTATACTAATCATGACTATTATACTGACCTAAAAAGACACACAGACCAATGGGACAGAATAAGGAAACCAAAAATAAACCCATGTGTATACACAGTAAGCAATCTTTGACAAGGGCACTAAGATACACAATGGGTAAAGTACAGTCTCTTCAATAAATGATGCTGGAAAAGGTGGATATTCATGAGCAAAAAGATGTGATTGAACATTTATACCACATATAAAAATGAACTAAAAAAAATTAACACTTAAGTGTAAAACCAGAAACTGTATAACGTTTAGAAGAAAGGAAACAAGTTCTTAGACATTTGCCTTGGTACTGATTTTGTTTTTTTGAGACGGAGTTTCGCTGTTGTTACCCAGACTGGAGTGCAATGGCATGATCTTGGCTCACTGCAACCTCTGCCTCCTCGGTTCAAGCAATTCTCCTGCCTCAGCCGCCCGAGTAGCTGGGACTACAGGCGCGCATCACCATGCCCAGCTAAGTTTTGTATTTTTAGTAGAGACAGGGTTTCACCTTGTTGACCAGGATGGTCTCGATCTCTTGACCTCATGGTCCACCTGCCCCGGCCTCCCAAAGTGCTGGGAATATAGGCGTGAGCCACCGCGCCTGGCCGGTACTGACTTTTTAGATTTCGCACCAAAAAAGCACAATTAACAAAATCAAAAAACAGGTGTGACTACGTCAAACTAAAAGTGTCTGCACATCAAAGGAAACAAAGAACAACATGAAAAAGCAACCTAAGGACTGGCCTAAGGACTGGGAGAAAATCTATCTCATAAGGGTTTCACATCAAAATATGTAAAAATTTCACACAACTCAACTGCCAAAAAAAGTAAACCTGACTTAAAAAGATGCAAAGGACCTGATTAGAAACTTCTCCAAGGATGACATAAAAGTGTCAAACAGGTTTAAGAAAGGTGCTCAACATAAATAATCATCAGGGAAATGCACATCAAACCTCAATGAGACATCATCTCACATTTACAGAGAGGTACCACAATGAGATATCAAATCATGAGATATCACCTCATACTGTTAGAATGGCTATCAAAAGACACAAGAGATCACAAATATTGGTGACTGTGGATAAAAGGAAACCTCATACTATTGGTGGAAATGTAAATTGATCTAGTCATTATGGGAAAAAGCATCGAAGCTCCTCAAAAAATTAAAAACAGAAGTACCATATGAATCTGCAATCCCACTTCTAAGTATATACCTAAACGAAATACAATCTGGCGGGCTCAGTGGCTCACGCCTGTAATCCCAGCATTTTGGGAGGCTGAAGTGGGCAGAGGCTGAAGTGGGCAGATCACTTGAGGCCAGGAGTTCAAGACAGCATGGCCAACATGGCGAAACCCTATCTCTACTAAAAATACAAAAAAATTAGCCAGGCAGGTTGGCACATGCATGTAATCCCAGCTACTCAGGAGGCTGAGATGACAGAATCGCTTGAACCCGGGAAGCAGAGGTTGTAGTGAGCCGAGATGGTGCCACTGCACTCCAGCCTGGGAAACAAAGTGAAACTCCATCTCAAAAATAAATAAAATCAGTGTATTAAAGAGATATCTGCACCACTATGTTCATAGCTGATTATTCACAATATATAGTGGAATATTATTCAGCGTAATGAAGAAGGTAATCGTGTCATTTTTGACAACATATGGATGAATAGACCAAGTGGGCATTATGGTAACTGAATAAGATAGAGAAATACAAATACTGTATATTACCAGTTATTTGTAGAATCTAAAAAAAGTTGAGCTCGTAGAAGTAAAGTGTAGGATAACAGATCCCAGCAGCTAAGAGGTGGTAAAAACAGGGAGATTCTGGTCAAAGAGTACCAACTTTCATTTAAAGGATAAATAAATTCTGGGGATCTGATGTATATACTTGTAAACTATATGTCTGTGAATGTAGTTTAAAACTATATGTCTGTGAATGTAGTTTACAATACTCTTGTATACTTGAGATTGCTAACACAGTAGATCTTAAATATTCTCTCCACAAAAAACCTAGCAACTATATGAGATAATTAATGTTAATTAATTTTATTGTATTAATCATTACACAATGTACACACATATAAAATCAAATTATCAGGATGTATCCCTTAAATATATATAATTTACAAGTGTGGGAAAAAATCCACATGAAAGGAAGCAAGGAAAACAAAAGGAAAAGAAAGAAAATGAATATAACACATACTCATTAAGCTTCACACTTAACCAGATAAAATTATAAAATGTTATTAAATATGAGTTGAGAGGTTACTATATACTGGGCAATGTACTGAGCTCCCCATAGACATTCATTTAGTTAAGAATTCTACATAGTAAGTAACATATTAAATGATTTTATATCTGTGGACTTTGTGCATGTAGAGCTTACTAATCTTAGTTTAGGCTAGGAAAGATGAAAAGCTGAAGTGAAATACAAGATCAGTTTTTTTTATATTTAGGAAAACGCTTCGTGCTCTGATGAAATTACTAAGTCTCAATTTTTGTAGGATCATCTTGGAAACCACTATAGGATTAGAAATTCAAATATCAGAAAATATGTGACATCTGTCCACAGAATTCCTGGAACTTCTAAAAGAAATCCTACTTTCCATCACTGCCCTCACACACTTCTGACATGAGGCAAAAACAGAACTTTAAAAATGTTTCATGTAGAGGTAGAAACAGGCACAGACTTCCCCAGAGCCCCCAAATCAATGGAAGAGCAGCCAGATTATGCAGGCCCTCACAGGCCAAGGGGAGCACTTTGGCTGTCACTATGAATTCGATGGTGGATCACTGAAGGTGAAGGAGAATCATTAGATAATTTCAGAGTGGCTGGGTGCGGTGGCTCACACCTGTAATCCCAGCACTTTGGGAGGCCAAGGAGGGTGGATCACGAGGTCAAGGGATCGAGACCGTCCTGGCCAGCATGGTGAAACTCCATCTCTACTAAAAAATACAAAAATTAGCTGGGCATGGTGGCATACGCCTGTAGTCCCAGCTACACGGGAGGCTGAGGCACAAGAATTGCTTGAACCTGGGAGGCGGAAGTTGCAGCAAGCCGAGATTGCGCCACTGCACTCCGGCCTGGCAACATTGCGAGACTCTGTCTCAAAAAAAAAAAAAAAAGATAATTTCAAAGTATGAGACAGAAGATATCCCTCTGCGACAGCAAGAGAAATAAACTCAGGCATTTCAAAAATCATCTCCACGGGAGAACTTCCCAATCCACACTTCGATGTCTGGTTCTTTCCTGACCTCTGGACCTCTCACCCATGTCATCTACTCATTCACTCCTGCCTACCTGGCTGGATGGCTACTGTCTCTGCACTCTTCACATTCCAGGGCTCTTTCCTTTGCTCCAAAAAGGTGATCAGGTCCGGCTTAGAGACAGCAAGACCTGTTTTATGAGAAAAAGTCACATGACTCTTGCTGGGTGTTCTTTAATTGCCAACTCAGTAGAATACTCAGTAAAGAGGGAACATTATAGAGGATTCTAGAAAATTACTTCCCCAAATACTGTTTCCTGTTAGCTTCTTTAAAATATTTAGAAAGTATATTAAATATGGGAATCCTGAGATTCACTTCCAAGTATGACTGAATCAAAAATAAGAAGAAGGAATTGGATTTTAAACTGTGGGCAATGATAAGTTTATATCACTCAATTTCTAGAATCACCACTAAACTAGAGTGAAGCTTGCACATCACCCCAGAAAGAAGGCAAAAATATTAAGATCAAACATTAGGAAGGTTTTTTTCTACAACAAACCCACATTTTTTTTTTCCTGGAAGTAGGAATCTGAGTTCATTCATATAAAGCATAAGCTCCAAGCATAAGCTCCCAGACATTCTACAAAGGAAAGAAATAAAACCCTTAGTTATTAGATATTAGACATTCCAAAGCCAAGTTATCCTCACCCAGACAAACCAGGTTTCTGTAGTTCTCTAACATCACATCCCCATACAAATTCTTCTGATTTGAGTCCAGGTGTTCCCACTCCTCCAGAGAGAATTCTATGGCCACATCCCTGAATGTCAGCAGTCCCTGAAATAAAAATAATTAACACATTGACCGTGTGGCCATGGGCAGTCTTCATCACTTGATCCAAGATGAAATAAGAGAGTTAAGAGAACTGACTGATTTATGAGTGACCTGAAATATTCAATAAGATACTTTTAAACACAGTAATATTTTCTAGCATATTCTCTAACTGTGGAAAGAGAATGATGTAAGATCCACAGAACCAGTGTAGATTCTATGCCTATGTGGAATATAAAATATAAAACTAAGGCATCAAGGGCAGGTGCAGTGGTTCATGCCTGTAATCCCAGCATTTTGAGATGCCGAGGTGGGAGGATTACCCGACATCAGGAGTTCAAGACCAGCCTGGTCAACATGATGGAACCCCATCTCTAATAAATGCAAAATATTAGCCAGGCCTGGTAGCGGGCCCCTGTAATCCAAGCTACTCAGGAGGCTGAGGCAGGAGAATCATTTGAACTGGGACGTGGAGGTTGCAGTGAGCCAAGATCACGCCATTGTGCTTCCAGCCTGGGCAACAAGAGAGAAACTTCATCTCAAAAAACAAAAACAAACAAAAAAACCCCAAAAATAAAAAACTAAGGCATCAACATAGGAATATATATTTTTGAGAGTTATATTTACATGATCTACAATCAGTTGTATATAATTGTCAAGTGGAAAAGTCGTGGTGACGTAGGGGCATACTTCGTAAATTTTATTGTATTCAACAATAAACTGGAGAACTTGTTCAAATGCAGATTCTAATTCAGGAGGTCTGGGATTTGGGCTGAGTTTCCGCATTTTTGGCAAGCTCATCAGTGATGCCAATGCCTCAGGTCCAGAGGCCACACTTTTGAATAGTAGAGAGGTAGAACACTGAGGAAAGAATTCAGGGATGATGTGGAATTGAGAGTTTTATGAAATTTACAGGTTATAACATAATAGCAAGAGTAATAGAATTCTTTTTGAACATTTACTATATACTAGATGTCATCCTAGCAGTTCATGTATTGATAAAACCATAAAAATAATCTATGTTAGAAACAATAGTATTCTTCCTCTTTTATAAAACATTTTGCCAACCAGCCCCCGCTCTGAAGCCTGAAAATTTCTTTTTGCCAAATATCTAGTACATAGTAGAGCTTATATTTTACCCCCGTATGTAACTTAGCATTCATTTTAAAGGGACACGCAGGCCAATATGCAGAGACAACCATAAAAGAATGTTCAGAGCAGGTGTCATAATTGAGAATGATGACAAAAGGAAGGCAGCAACACAAAACTGACCAAATGCTGCTGACGTCATACGCACATACGTACATAGAAACGGTAACTATACACACATGATAAGTGACAGGACATTTCTTAATAAAATTAGGAAATATTTTAAATTGTGTTAAAACAATAAAACTTTTCGTGAATGATCCCTTTTTCTGTTTTTTAAACAAACTATGAAGACCAATACATACAATGATATGAACTAAAATAAGAGCTTGTTTTTCTGAGTCTGTTTTTTTTTCCCCGAAGTTTTTGTTTTATTTTTTCTATGTGCTGTGTTATATTTTAGAATTTTAAGATAATAGACATATTAATTACATGTTAATTGTCATCTTTCTCTGAAAATACAGAGAATAAGGAGAGTATGCTGTGACATGAGTAAAACAAAAGGAAACCTACAGAGCTCAGGCTTGTTTCAGAACTTACAGTTTCAAAAACCGGGATCTACAGTCAACAAATGTGAGAGCCTTCACTTTCTAAAGCAACCTACAAGCAAAGGGAAGCTAAAAAGTAATGAGAGTCTCTGGATTCGACATGATGGTTTATACGCATCTCTCAGTAAATATTCCCTCCTAGATACTCATTAACAACAAAGAGAAAAATAACTAAATAGTGAAGGAATCTGGCAGAGAGCACCTGAACCAGGTGAATGAAGTTAGCATCGGCTGTAATGAGATGAATTGGTATCAGTGCTGACTCACAGATGATCACTGCTGTGATACTAGTGAGGGAAAAAAGTAAGTCATAATCAGAACATAATAATAAACAGGACCTGGGGGGAAGATGCAAGTGGCCATATTTCTTCAAACTGGCCATGTGACCCTACTTAGAAGCCTGGGCTGAGACCCACTTAGCTAAGCATTGTCTCTCAAGCTTCATATGCATACACATCATTTGGTATTCTGGGGCCCGTGCTAAGTTGTATGATTTTGCAGGTTTGGAAAGGTTTCATGAATTGGCTTAAGACCCATTATTAGTAGCACTCAGCTAGAGGAAGTGAGCACAGCACACAGAGTCCCTTACAAGCAATACTCTTAATCACAACACAAACACTTTTCTTTCACAGCGAGGACCACCAACTACTGTCCTGAAAAATCACATCCTTTGCCAGCCATTTAAAGCCTACAGAAGGCTGGAGGAGACACTAACGTCTAAGTCAGCATTTGGAAAATAGCATGGATACATGCACTAATGCAGTGTTTACTGAGCTTATACTGTGTGCTCATAGTATGTACTGTGCTGGGAATATCCCATGGTGTGAGTTAAGCCACATAAATCCCTGGGATGTGGGTCCTGAGTATCCCATAATTCCCAGCAGGATTTAAATCATGGCCCAGACTTTCCATGTCTTCTGTTTCCCTGTCACTATTAAAGCTAACTATAGACATATGGGAGGGATATGGAAAGGAAGGGTGAAGTTTAGCTCAGGAGGATTTCTCACTGCTGTCTTTAGTTGACTTTGTTACAACTTGTGGAGCAACTACTGGATTTGCAGGAATGGAAAAAATGTTGCCTGGTGGGATGTCTCCAGAAGCACTCATTTCAATGAAGAAAAAAATTCAGACCTCATATTGTCCTTTGTTCCCATTTATCTGCTTTGTGGTTTGGGGAAAGTGTGAGCACCAGCTCTGGAGAAACAGCAAGACGAACCGCTCAGAAGTCCGATCTCCAACAAACAGTTCTGTGAGCGTAGGCTCCAAGGTGGGACCAGAACTGAACCAAGCTCAGAAGAGGATGGATTTGGGCAGGGCTGGGACACAGCAAGGCTAGAGGCAGGGGGCAGGCCGTAAGCTTCCCATTTCTATGTTGCTGGTTTATTTTCAGTCCTGTCTTTCCTAAGCCTGACCACAAGAACTTGACTCCCAGATTTTTTCTGATTTTAATTGTTTCATTCTTAACTATTTTGTAAATCCACTAACAAGAAATTTAATCAAAACACGTAGGGCTTTCTGGGAATATTATATTAAAAACCAAATCAAGAGGAAATCAATAGAAATAATCATAACTACTCTTCTGTCCATGGGTGGCCCTTCAGGTGGTGACATCAGAACTCAAAATGTGAACATAAGGGCAATGTCCCAAATCAAGCCTAGGTTCCCTGTACACATCTGTTCTTGCTTCTGACCACATGATGCTGAATTTGGCCATTATCCTTCTGCTCTAGACTGAAAGTTCCTGGATGGTAGGGACTATGCTGCATCTGTTTTTCCAATGGACACATGAAATGGAAGCAACTGGTCTACCTGTCAGTCTGAGTCTCCAGACCTCCTCTCTGTTCTTCACCCACATATTAGAAAACTGGAGCAAAGCCCATTTGGATGCCAAATAAAGAGATTCCTTCTGTGAGTGGAGGGACAAATCCTGGATGACTCATTCCTTTTCCTCTGAGATGGGAAGATTAGATCCTGTGGTCAGCCTGACCTCAGCCTGCACAGAACATCACCAAATGTCTCAAGGATTCCCAGGTGCTGGTGAGAGAGTCCCTGGTGATCCCATGCTGATGCCCCAATAGTGATTTGGGCAGGAGAGACTCAGCTGACTCTGTGAGGCCAGGATAGAAAGTGGGACTGCCTCAGTGGAGCCACAGATCCTGGATCCAGGTGTAATATTACCTATACCTGAACAGGTAACTCTTGGGTACAAGAGAGGACAAGATGACCCTACTCCAGTAACACAGCTCACAGGAAGGTGTGGCTTCACTCATGGCTCTGGACAGTTGTGGCCCTGCCCTCCCTCTGCTAAGGCGTTGCTTTACACTCACAGATTCTGCCACAGATTCTGCTTAGACCAGAAGGCCCTCACAAGAACTGCAGCAGCTCACTGGACAAGATCTGGATAACTTGAAGGAACCCACACAAAATGCAGGACTTTACAAGGTCTACGGCAATCTCTCATAATGCAGAAAATGTCCCCTGGATTTTCTATACATCCTCGGTCTAGAGTCTGACCCTGTCTTGAGGATCCCAGATGGAGACCAGCATTTATGTGCAGACTCTAGGTGGAATCAACCTGGCTCTGCATTCTTGGGTGTTGCTGTGAAGAGAGGAAAACTAGAGGAGACAGCCCCTCAGGAAAGCTCCTCTCACACATTCTGGAGAACCCCGGGACCTAGGTCCAACATTTGGAGCTGCAGATCTAGGTGTTGGAGGGGCAGGGAAGTGGCTGGCACCCTCTGCACGTTCGTGGGCATTTGGGCAAGAGGATGAGGGGAATGTTGAGATTCTCAGGCCTACTCAATGCACGTGTGTGCCTGGTTGGTTTCCAGGCCCCATGGTCTCTGAATCAGTTTCAGGTGTGAAGATGCCAGGGGCATGGAAAGACACAGCTGGAATGGCTAAATGATGCCCTGTGAACTTATTTTTGTAGAAATAAGTTCTACAAAAGGCCACACTGTTCTAGAAGGGATTAAAGATTCCAAATAAGAAGAGAGACGATTTTGCCTGCACATTTTCGGGGCAATGGGCAGTTTGCTGCACAACTGTGGGTTGTGACTGGATGTCTTAGAGGGAAAGGCCCCTCTAGCGTGAGGCCTGGTGGGTGGGCACCTTACATTTTGCAATGTTTGGGAAACATAATTAAAAACAAAATCACTAGAAAAACTATCCACAATGGTAGAAAAGAAAGAAAACTGTTTTATGACACAATCAGAGCAGAATGTGAAAGACATTACAGGCAATCTGCTAAGACTGGAAAAACACTCACTGGTGAAAAAGTCACCATAATTAGTCCTCCAGTAGAAGGCCTGACAGCACCATCTGTCAGATACAGTTCATCTTAAATTCACTGGGCAATTGGGAGGCCATCTGTGTTTTTTGATTGGCTATGGTCAAAGGCAAAAAAACTCTCATGTCTTTGTGACAGATAGATTTGCAACTTGGAGCCAAGTGCCTGAAAGTAGATGCCTGCTCTCCTAGAGACAGTATGAGATATGGCTGTCTTCTTTGATACTTACATTTCAAATCAGTGATTCCCAGTTCCTAGAGAAAAAATGTCCTGAATCAAAAAGACTGATGGCCAGGTGCCGAGGCTCAGGCCTGTAATCCCAGCACTTTGGGACAACAAGGCAGTCAGATCAACCGAGGTCAGGAGTTTGAGACCAGCCTGGACAACACAGTGAAACCCGTCTCTACTAAAAATACAAAAATTAGCCAGGCATGGTGGCCAACACCTATAATCTCAACTACTTGGGAGGCTGAAACAGGAGAATGACTTGAACCCAGGTGGTAGAGACTGCAGTGAGCCAAGATGACAACACTGCACTCTAGGCCGAGCAATGGCGAGACTCAAAAGAAAAGACTGACAAAAGACAAAAGGTCTGTTTAGCTGTTAGAATGATTTAGACATATTTCTAAAATGCAGAAAAAATTTACATATGAAATTTTCTAAAGTAAATGCTTCAAGAAAAGGAAGGAGAGAAACATGTCTTCCCTTATTTTCAAAAAGGGTTAATCTCGTATTTCTAATTTGTATTTGTTCTCACAATTGTGAGATCTAGGACCACAATCTTGAATTCATGGACATGTGAATTCCAGCAGGCGCTGGATTCAGGCACCTGAGGGTTGGCCTTGGACACACTATGTGCACCTAAAAAGGGGTTTGCGGGCCAGATATGGTGGCTCATGCCTGAAATCCCAGCCCTTTGGGAGGCAGAGGCGGGTGGATCACTTGAGCCCGGGAGTTCGTGATGAGCCTGAGCAACATAGTGAGATCCTGGTGTCTACAAAAATTAGCCAGGTGTGGGGGCACACGCCTGTAGTCCTAGTGATTCAGGAGGCTGAGGTGGGAGGATCACCTGAGCCCAGGGAGGTTGAGGCTGTATGATCATGCCACTGCACTCCAGCCTGGGTGACAGAGTGAGACCCTGTCAGGGTTTGTGGGAAAGTAAATGGCAGAAGAAGGGAAGGTGCAACTAAGAACTCACGCATGGCAGGACGTACAGAATTGGTGGAAGGACTGGTTTGTGCTACAGATACTGGCCCAGGTGGCGCTATGCTCTGACTTACTCCTGTGTCCATGCAGGCAGGCAAGATGATGACTACTGGGTGTGGGCTGCTGCTGCAGTTCAGCGTCTGGGGGCAAGGATAAGCCAGGAGTCTTTTAGGCACTTGTATGGGAATTTTGACAGGAAACTCTAGGAGCAAAGGTGCTATGGGCACAATTTCCTGAGGGTCATTTCTAGTCCTGGAAGGGTCATGTGTTCAGGAGTGGGTGGAATTATGGGGTGGCAGCAGCACAGTGGGGGCAGGGCTCTGTTCTCAGAACTTCTTCCCTTTCTGTCCTCAGTTGCCTCTCCCTGGGAGGAGTCATGGAATCACAGGACTCTGTGTAGGGTGACAGCCTGTGTGCAGGGGAATAGAGCCTCCCTTCTGGAGACACCCAGAGTCTCTCTCCAGCGTGGGTCCCTGTGTTGTCTTTTTTCTGACACTAAATGTATGGAGTTTGCTGAACCCCAGCCAATTCTCCAGTGCCAACTCGTTGTCCAATAACTCAATTCTGACACCCCCAGAGGCAGCACAGATCCCACAAGGTCAGAGTTCAGTGCCACAACACTGCCCCCACTACAGATGCCAGTCACAATCCCCAGGGTCCATCAATACTTCAGAGCTACTGCCTATAAATTGGGGCCTCCCATAGTCCCCTACTCAAGTTCATTCATTTTATACAAGGACTCACAAACTCAGCAAAGGCTGTAATTGCATTGGCCAGTTTATTATAAAAGATATAACTCAGCCAAATGGAAGAGATGTATGGGCAAGAGAAAGCAATGGGGAAAGACAGGGTGGAGAGTTAACCCTGGTAAGCAGCTGTGATAAAAGAAATCCCCCTTCCTTTGTGTTTTCCAAGAGCAGCTTACTGCAAAGAATCACCCTTCCCGTTATGACAGATGATGCTCCCTTTTTAAGGTATCACAAAGCCACAGACTCTCCTATTTCCTTTTTTTCCCCTCATAAGCAATGAAAGAGTTTTATCTTTGGTGGTCAGAATAAAATACGTGTTAACCAAACTTGCTTAAGTTTCTCTCTTTCTGTAGGTCCCTGAACTTTGTCCCACGCACAGCCTGAGCCAACAGTCAACCCCTCTTTATGCCCCTCCTGAGAACAGGCTGACTTAGGGTGAAACATTCTCTGATCTGGGATCTGACTTTGCCCCAGAGTTGTGCCCTTCCCCTCCCAACGTTAGTCATATTTGCTCCTCCCTATGAAAGAAAGGCCTTTTTTGGCCGGGCGCAGTGGCTCACACCTATAATCCCAGCACTTTGGGAGGCCGAGGCGGGTGGATGACGAGGTCAAGAGATCAAGACCACCCTGGTCAACATGGTGAAACCCTCTCTACCAAAAATACAAAAATTAGCTGGGCATGGTGGCGCACGCCTGTAGTCCCAGCTACTAGGGAGGCTGAGGCAGGAGAATCACTTGAACCCAGGAGGCGGAGGTTGCGGTGAGCCAGGATCGCGCCATTACACTCCAGCCTGGGTAACAAGAGCGAAACCCCGTCTCAAAAAAAAAAAGAAAGAAAGGCCTTTTCTGCCTAAACTGTGAGATCCACAAAATCTTACAGTTGGTGCTTTCCTCCTCGTGGAAAAGTTCCTTAGAATTAAGGAACTTCTTACCTAAATCCAGATGCTTTATTTGACAAAGTCAAGGAACAGTCCCAGGACACTAACAATTCCACCCTCAGAAAGAGCCTCCCAACCTCCCTTCCAGTCCAACCTCAACCACATCCGCCTGCAAATCCCCCGCTTTCCAGAACTCTGCAGCTTCTCCCAGTACAAAGAGCTCCCTCCATGGCTGCTGTGAACCTCAGGGACACCTGAAGGGGACGCTCCCTAGGAGGAACTAACTGGGCCTTCAGTGACCTCCTTTTGCAGGCTCAAAGACTGAGGTCTTCTGCTTCCCAGTCAGGGTTATTCCACGCACGCGCTTCTCCCTTCGCAGGCTCTGTCCCTCGGGTCCATCGAGGTGGGCTGCCTTCTTCCCATCTCATTAGCTCTCTTCAAGTATCTAGTGAGCTCTAAAACCTACCCCAGGACAGCAAACGTCAGGCCCTCCTACACTTTCCGGGCACTGCACACCTTCTGGGGAGTGCTGCCAATCCCACCTCAACTGAAGGGACAGGGCAGGTGCCCAGCAGTCAGATGTTCAATGACCTAACAGGTTTCAGGAAAATAGGAAAATCACTCAAACACAGTTTCTATAGAAAGGAAGGAAACTGTACGGCACTTACACTTTATGCCTCAACAGGAAAAGCCGAAATACCTCTTTCAGACAATAAACATGTCATTTACTCCCATAACAGCAGATCATTTAGTATACGTGAACACTTATAGGGGGTGCCAAGTCCTGTCTCACAAAATTTGGCATTAAACTCGGACATCCAGATAGCTGCAGAATATGGAACACAGGTATCGACTGTCACAATTCCTCCACTCTGCAAAAGAGAGGACCTGATGTTTTAATGAATGTTTGTAACTGACCAATTATCTAGCACACTTTCTGTGGAAATGCATTCGTTTTCTACAGCCACAGTGGAAGAGAGATTGTCCCTATTTTTTTTTCCCTGGCAACATTCAAAAGCTAAGCCCTGAGTTTTGAAATTGTCACTCCAGAGGACCCTAAACCACAAACCATGGTAGCAGGCTTACTATTTCACCAATCGCTGTTTGCTCAAATAAACTCTTTAACGCTTTAAGGGTGACTCCTTTTAATTTTTTTTTTTTTTTTAACGGAGTCTCACTCTGCAGCCCAGGCTAGACTACAGTGGCGTGATCTTGGCTCACTGCAAACTCTGCCTCCCGGGTTCAAGGGATTTTCCTGCCTCAGCCTCCCGAGTAGCTTGGACTACAGGTGCGCGCCACCAAGCACAGCTAATTTTTTGTATTTTTAGTTTCACAGTGTTAGCCAGGATAGTCTCGAATTCCTGATCTCTTGATCCGCCTGCCTGGGCCTCCCAAAGTGCTGGAATTGCAGGTGGGAGCCATTGTGCCTGGCCACTCTAATTTGTAAGAGGAAAAAAGGAGCAACTGGGGACCCTACAGGGCACAGTTTCTTGCCACACACCACTCACACGCCCAGCCGGGGTCTCCCCTGAGACTCTCCCCGTCTTCACCGCACGACATGAGGAGACTCGGGGCTGCGGCGCTGAGCTGACCAGAGGCGGCTCCGGCCAGGGCCAAGGTCGCCCCGCGGGGTCGGGAAGGGACGCGAGAGGTCCCGGCCGCCGGCTCAGCCGCCATCTTGCGGCGGGGGGTACAGAGGGCCGAACTGAGCCCAAGGGGACTGGGAGCCCAGACCCCGGAGCAGACCGCGGGGAGGCCCGATGTCCCCAAAGCGGGCTCCCGCCGCTTCCGACCGCCCCGCCCCCTCCTTTGGGGACCCCCTGACCCGGCACATTCACCATTTCCCAGCTTCCGGGATGTCCTGGCGTCTTAGCTATAGATCTCCCACTGCCTGCACGTCACAGAGCAACAGAGGCTCTGTTTATTCTCAGAACGCGAAGTCGCCTGGGCCTCTCGGATCGAAGGTCTCGCAGCCACGGTGAGGAGACCCGAACTCTGACTGTGGCAGACAAGCGCCCCAGCCAAATCCCGGAAGCCGCCTCTGCTCTCAGGCTGCTCTCGATTGGACGATTTCCACTCCAGCGCCCCTGATTGGGCAAAGCTCCAGGCCCCGCCCCTCATCAGTTCATTTTTTTTTTTTTTTTTGAATGGCAGACTGCCTCATTTGAGGTGGGGCCCCTTGCTGAGGGCATTACAGCTAATTTTGAGGTGAGCTGGGACTTGAAATGCACTTGCTGTCCCTTACCTGGTTCTGCTTGTATAAGGCATCTTATTAGGTTATTAAATTTAAGAAGGAGGGCATTTGGACACCTTTAAAACAACTTTGTTTTTTGAGAGGGAGTCTCCGTCTGTCACCCAGGCTGGAGTGCCCTGGTGAGATACTGGCTCACTTCAATCTCCGCCTCTCTGGTTCAAGGGATTCCAGCCTCAGCCTCCCGAGTGGCTAGTACTACACGCGCCTGCGACCAGCCCCGGCTAATTTTTTCTATTTTTAGTATGGACGGGGTTTCACCGTGTAAGCCAGGATGGTCTCCATCTCCTGATCTTGTGATCTGCCCACCTTGGC